TTGGAATTTGTTTTGGAATAATGAGTTTTGAATTTATTGGGATTAATTATTGGAATTGGTTTTAAAAGTATGTTTGCAAATAAATTGAGTTTACACTATCTTGCACTTATCGTACTTAGCATAATTTGCTAATCCGTATTTCTTATTTGTTTTGGTTCGCCCTGTTTACCGTAATGGTAAGCAGTGTTGACTATTTTCAGGTGGAGTCATGAATTAGCATATGGGAGTCGCGGGTTTTGCTTCACCTAGTTTAGGAATGTTGGTCATGCCTTTATTTTGAGTACTCATAACAATGTTACTATTTTTATAAGTATTAATAAAACAAATTTGAGTTTCCGCTGCAAGTTTTGTTGTTGTGTTAAGTATTTTGAGTAGCCTTGTGTAAACACGCGACGGTAATACGCCCAATTCTATCTCTACGTTATAATTATATGTATTATACTGGTATTTCTGTAGAGGGAGATTTGGGGGTGTTACAATCCCTATTTTAGATTACTTTGGGGGTAACTTAAGTACTTAATTTAAAATTTTTTGACCACATTAAGATATAGAGAAAGTAGTTTTTATTATTAAACCAAAAGTACACATAAGGGTAGTATATGATATATGAATGGACAAAAATCATTATGATTTAAAAGGTGATATATGTAAAAGCCATAAAATTTTTTATATCTCTAATTTTTGTTTAAATATTGAATTAAAATTATGATACGCAATACCATGATACATATTATTGTGAATGAATAATCATATAATGTAAAAACATATCACCACTATGCATTAAGCTAACTTTGGTTTCGATTTTGTGACATTTACTATTTGAACTTTCAAAACTGGTACTATACTAAGGGTCTGCTCTCATACGTTGAAATTCAGTTCAGAGCTCAGTTCAGTTCAGCTCTTAATTTCCTCCTCTTATAAAATATTCAGTTCAGTTCATTTCAGCTGAGTTCAATTAATGAGAACAAGCCATATTATTATTATTATTATTATTATTATTATTATTATTATTATTATTATTATTATTATTATACATTGAAAAGCGTGCCTAAAATTATTCATGTGCTATGTAATTCTGCAATAGCAATGTGCCACATCATCATTTAGCACTACATCACCACTAGCATTGCAATAAATATTCCACGTCATTATCATCCCACAAGTGTCGAACACTAAATCTCATAGCCAATTGTAATTAATGTACTCTATTTACACATAAACAATTTATCTTTACTTAATCACAAAGAAAGACAAAGAATAATAATGTAGTAGTCTACAAAAAATGAATAAAGCTAAATAGCCTTAACAATTCCTAGACAATGGGGAATTGTTCTCATTAAATCCTTTTTTTTAACTAACGTTATTTCTTAACACCCCGATGCAACGCCCATGCCACACACTAATTATAAACATGAAATGTCAATAATATGAATCATGTGTCACATTTTAAACACTATAAACACAATATGTCACCTCCACACACATGGATTAAATTTGACAACTAAAATATACTTATACAACGATTTGGACTCAAGACCAACAATTATTGATTAATTTACAAATTTTACCATCTTAGTTATCATTTATTGTAATTTTCTACTAGCAAAATTATAATTAACTTGCATAAGATAATTAATGTTTAGTTGTACAATTTGTTTCCATTATATAATAATTATAAGACGATTTAACAACTTTAATTTTGAAATTTGAAAAACTCTGCATTGTTTTTCGGTTTGACGAAAAATTATAATAATTTTATTTTTCTGTTAAATAGTCTATAATTGATGGCCCTCCTAATAATTTTATTTTTCTGTTAAATAGTTTATAGTTATGGTTCTCCTAATACAAATCTTTTTTCAAGTCAAAAAATTTCAAAATAATTATCAAAAGGAAAAATTCACATCTACTACAGCAAAAGTACCACGTATCAGATTTACTACTTGTTTAAAAATATATTTTATATTACTACCACCATTGTAGACACCCATTTGTGTATCCCCAAAACCAAACCCAATGATGAGTACCTTTCATGTCGAATCATAATCGAATGAAGCGAAAGTGTGGAAAGTTTAGTGTTGCGGATAGTTTTAATTTCTTTTCTCTTCTCTCTGTTTTTGAAAACTTATTTTTAAGAAAACAGCCGATCCAGTTTGGTTGGTCCATGATATGGGTCCAATAGTAGTGTAGTTGGATGGGGCTTGCAAAGACCTTTACAGCGATATATTATAAGCCCAATTTCGATGAATATTGAGGAAGTTATGGCCAATTTACCAAACTAGGCCCGTTTTGAGCTTTATATACGGCCCAATGATCTTGGGGAGGGCCTAATATGATTTATCATTCCTAATGCAATTAGGAATGGTTTTAGTCTTCTAGATTCTTCTAGAAGGTTCTTTTGATCCCTAATTCAATTAGCGTTGATAAATTGACTTCTATTGACTTTTCAGAGTTTTAATTAAAATCAAATAGCATTTTCGAGGAAAATATACAATTTTATCCTCCAGTACGGCAAATTTATCTGATTTTCGAAAACGCGTTAAAAACGGGCTTGGCTCCTGGTGCCAGCCATTGGCGCCTGGCGCCAATTCGCCAGGGTTGGCGCCAGCTCTGTTTTGCGTGCGCCAATCTCGTTTTGCGTGTGCCAAGTGCTCTGTTTTGATATTTTATCTTTTTGGCTGATTTCTCTATAAATAACGTATTAAAAACTCCGTTTTCATTCACCAATTCTCACGAATTCTCATCAACAATCAGTTTTCATTCGCAATCATTAATTCCCTCAATCATTCATCTTTCTTTCTTTCTTTTTTTCTAAACTTTGTTTTCATATACAAACTTCCGCATTCATTAGATCTAGAAGCACCTAGCCATATTCGAAGTTGCCTTCGCCCTAGACGTGAAAGGTTTAATTTCTGAGGGTTTGGTCCCAAATCTCTATTTCAATTATTTAATTTAATTGTTTGTTTATTGTTTTTCTTGAAGTTACTAACGTGTGTATTTTGTTATTAGAAAGAGGTACAAAGCATCAAAGTAAGTACTTTAATGGTTTTAATTGATGTTATGATGTAGAAATCATGTTTATATTGTTATTATGATATTCCTAGTATCATGTTTAGGGAAAGAGTTATAATATCAAATATGCTTATTATGATTCCTGCGATGCTTCCTATGTTCTTCCTAATATTTATGATTGTTAGTATCATGTTAGGGTTAAAGATTTCATTTTTATTGCTTAGTGACATGTTAGGGTTTGTTATTAATCATGTTAGTATCATGCCTAGGATCTTGCTATTATTATGCTTTAATATTAACATGAACATGATTATGATTATAATTGTTATAATTTATGATTATTATTTTTATGATTATTATTATTTTGATGATTATAATGTTATTATTCATGATTGATTATTTTATTATGTTGCTTGATATTTATTTATTGCTTGATCACGCCTTTATGCATGTTTAAAGGGAATTGGTACTTGTAATCATGCTTAATAAGATATTAATATTCTTGTTAGGGCTAATTTGATTATAATTCAAGTGATCGCTAATAATAGTTTATTGTGCATTAATATACAACCAACATAGATTAAACAGATTTAGGGTTAAACCTATTGATTGTATGTTAATTGAAAAGCGCACATGAATACGATCAGAATAAAGTAGAGGCCTATTATTAGGGCAGGTTCAATTTCTTTTAGGTTGGATTTGTACCTTCATCCCCGAACCCTTATTTGGTTCTAGACCTTATGGAGTTGACGATCTCTTGGATCGTTAAGGGGTGTAACCTTCACCTCGTGAACGGTTTACAAGTTCCTAAAAAACTTGTTGGCGACTCTTTTGCTCTATCTTCTTCCCTTTTGGACGCCACCGTACTTTAGTGTATGATCACAGTGGGGTTCAAGCATGGGATTAAAGCTTGAAATCTATTCCCTACAACCATAATTCCCTAACTGTAGGAATAACTACCAGTGACTAACCCCGTTACTGTTTCCGTTTGAGGGGCCCACAACAATGGCAGCCACCCCTCCACAACAACGACAGTCATCCCTCCACTTCATTGCCACCCCCTCCCCCCTGTCGGCGCCGGCGCGACCCCACTACATTCCCCCTGCCGGCGCGACCCCATTCCCACCCTTTCCCCCACCTACGCAGACAACCCCCCTCCTTTTTCCCGTTGTTGTTGCCCCGACCCCCACCCCGTACCGGAAACCACTCCCTTTCCTTTCCCCCCACCAGAAATCGACCCCCTCCCTATGCCCCACACCAAAAATCGCCCCTCTCCCTATGCCCCACACCGAAAATCGCCCCCTCCCTAATTCTAAACCACCAGTCCCAAACCACCCTAAACGAGGGTTTCGATTTCGGTGGTTTGGGGCTGGTGGTTTAGGATTTCGATTTCAATTTCTATTTCGAATTTTAGGGTTTCGATTGGCTGGTGGCCGGGGCAACAAGAAGGAGAAAGGGGTTCGTTGGCTGCGTAGGGGTGGGGGAAAGGTCGGGGCGCCGCCGATGAAGAATTTGGTGGAGTTTCGCGGCGGAGGTAGTGACGGTTTAGCAGTGGGCAGGTGAGGATTTCGGTGCACCAACCACGAGGTTAGGGGTGGTTGGCAGGTGGGTAAATGGAGGAGGCGGGGTTTGCCGGTTTCGGGGAAACATTTGGCCGCCAGCAAGGGGAGGAGGGAGGGTGGCTGACGTCAGGAAGGGGAGGGGAGGTGTTTGAGAATTTTTTTTTAAAAGTTTTTTTTATATATAATTTAAATTATTATTTAATGAAATATGAGGCCCACTTAACGAAATCTTAACGGATTCTGTTAAGTGGTAGCAATATATATAGTTAGGGAATTTGTGTGGTAGTAATTTAAAATATTTTTTTAAACAAATAGTAAATGTGACACGGGGTGTTTTTGCTGGTAGTAAATGTCAATTTTTCCTTATCAAAACATTTAAAAAAAAAAAAAGTCGAATAAACGTGGTTAATATCATTTTATTTTGTTGTCAAAAAAAAAAAAAAAAATTGCCTGATCTTGACTTTTTAATTTGGTCAATTTTTGCAATGTTTTACTGCTTTCATACGAAGGACACTAATGCTCATTTATCTTGACTTTCACTATCCAACTCATCTTCTTAACCCACCTTAACTATTCTTGCTTGGTCAATTTGGCAGGTCGCACGAGATAAAAAACATCTACATTGACTCACAATTCTTATTACAGTAACAAAACACAAAATGGATATTTGACAGAGCTTTTATCAACTTTAGTCTAATCAAAGCTGTAGATATAAATATACAATAAACACCAAGTGACCAAACCAAATTGCCTGAAATATGTTTGACATTTTCAAAACTTAGACATAGAACAGAAACATATAAAAACATCCACCAAATGTGTATTGATGTCAAAAGATTGAATCACAACATCATTATTACTATACATCAGTAGTATATGAAAGAAGGGATATGGGCAATTTTAAGCCACTCTCCACTTTCACCCTCAACACCTGCTAACAGAAGGGGGCAACCAGCCATTTCTAAAGTTTTTAAATTCGAGAGATGGCGAATTGCTTCTGGAGAAGGCAGATTCTTCAATTTTGGCAACCCATAAAGATGCAGCTCTCTGAGAGATGTCAATTTCCCTAGCCAGTCGGGTATTGTTTCCAAGCATTCGGAGTGTCCGATTGTCAAGCATTGCATTGCCCTCAAATATTTGAGCTGATCAGGAAGAGCAGTTGTATCATCATTGTCATACAAGTGGAACCCCTCCAATGTTAAAACTTCGAGGGATTTGCAAACAGGACTATCTTCGCTCAATTGTGCAAGCAGTACGAATTCATCAGTGTGTAGTTCCCTTATACAAGGAAGACTTCCCAACCCTACTAGTTGGTTGCTTTTTAAGGTTAAAGAATGAAGCTGTGTTAAAGAAGATAAATCTCCAAGATTTTCGACTTGATAACAATCAACTACTACTATCTGTTCAAGCGAATTGCAACATTGGAACCCTCTGTTTGGTAATATAATAGTCAGCTTCTTGCAGTATTCCACTTGTAAGAAACGAAGAGATCTGAAACTCTCTAATGTCAGAATTCCTTCGGCTGCACATCTATAAATCTTCAAGGAGACGAGGTTGGAAAGTGAGGAACTTCTTTCTTCAATCAGCCATCTTGGAAATCTAGTACCATCATGATTCCAAATCTGAAGCATTTTTAAGTTCGCATTAGGTTGCAGAGCTTCAAGGATCTCATTCGCGTGGGGGTTATCCTTAACTGCTGGCCATTTACTAAAACCCCATCTCAGAACTAAATTATCAAGGTATGACTTGTTGTCTAGAACCCGGTCACGAGCTTCTTCTTCACTGTCTAAAAAACATAGATTGTGAATTTCCAATGTACCTCTGAGATTTGTCAATGAACCAAGGTCACTTAATTTCCCGCCCCAATTCATTTCTAAATTGATAGCAGGCAAGGTTCGTAAAGCAGTCAAAAGACCCAACCCCATAGGTATACCAATGGTATCATCGTGAAGGATGTGGCGTAAATTTACCAAATTACCTATTTGTTTTGGAAATTGAGTCGTGCATGGATCTTTCACAATGTATAAGTTGTTTATACAAAGTGTTTGCAAGTGGTAAAGTTTGGTGATGTGTTCAGCAAGGTTGGACTGAACGACACCCAAACCATTGTCGACAGCAATTTCAAAGTACCTCAAATGTATCAAGCTACCCAACGGCTCCCAATCTAAATCCTCACTCCAATTCCATCCTATATTTAACACCCTTAAGTCCCTACATTTTAACCAAAAATGTAGGCTAGGATGTTCAAACTCCTTGAAAAGCAAACATGTTCGCAACTTTGTATAGGACGTGAGAGTGAGCTCTCTGCTTTTAGATTGCCTGGGAACTAATAAGTGCCGTAGAACCTCATTTGATCTTTCATATCCATCTGAGCACAAGCACTCCCCAGTTGAAACAACTCGAGCAAGACACCATACTAGATCATGCATCTTAAAAGTCTTCACTTTGCCACACTCATCCAATTCTGCTTCTTGGAAAAGAGAACTATTCAACAGATGCTGGACATATTCTTCCCCTTTGTCCTCCATTACTTCATAAGGTTGCAAGTAGCCCTGAGCCATCCACATGTAGATCAACTTATTCTTGTCAATGACCTCATCTTCTCCGAATATGGCACAATAAGCAAAGCATTTTTTAAAAGTCATGCTTGGCAAGAAGTCGTAACTTAACCTCAAGGAAGGCAAAATATCATTCCTATCCACTTTCGTCCATGTATGACTTTGCTCAATCTCCTTCCATCTATTCAGACTTTGGTCCCTTAGCAAGTCCCCTAGTGCTCTTATGGCTAGAGGAACGCCTCCACAATTCTTCATCATTCTTCTTGCAATAACTTCTTTCTCGCTATCGACTAGACTATCTTCACTTATTCTTGCCAAAAATAGCGACCAGCTGTCAGCTATACTCAATCCCTGCAACATATAGATAGAAGGCCTTTTCATGGTATGTTTACCTTTACTATCATAACAATCTGTCACCATATTTCCAACTGCATCTTTGTTGCGCGAAGTCACTAATACAGTAGTACCATAGGATCCACCAATTTCCTCTAGAGTGGATTTCAAGGATTCCCAATGAATTGTATCCCATACATCATCCAATATGAGTAAGTACCTTTTATCCTTCAACTTTTCATGGAGCTCTGATATAAGTGCTTGTCTATCTCTCATGGATGAATGTTTTCTGCAAAGCATCTCCACCATTCTGTTTAAAACGTCTAAAAGATCATAAGTACGAGAGATGACAAGCCAAATAATTTCAGAGTTGAAGAATTCCAACACCTCTTGTTCCTTGGAAATGCGTTTACACAATGTCGTCTTTCCCAAACCTATCCATAAAATTAACATGTAAGGTATAATACATCTCACCTCTTGTATAAATAAGAACATGAGTAATGGTCAAGTAACCAATATATGAAAAACAAAAAAGGAAAAAAAAATGCAGGGGAAAGAAGTGCATTTGATAATTTGTATCCAATAAATCATCACAGAAAATAATGCATCACATCTTGTACGAATATGAATATTTTTTTTTTTTGAAAGATTGTACGAATATGAATGAATATAAGTGAGTTATCATTATAAACGAAAAAAAGTTTGCAAGGGGAAATAATCCATAAATTTTGTAATTGAAGTAATCAGACAACTTTAAGGCTAGGTTTAATTCTAACAAGAATATACTGAATAATTAATTACTATTTTTACTGAAAAAGGTACCTATAAGGTCTAAGTTTGATCAAAACTAGACAATCAGATCAAGTGGAAAATAAAAGTTTAGATCTCATAAAATTAAAAATAAAAACTAAAAAATAAAAATCCAATCAGATTAGATATGCAGGAACAAAGTAAACAAAACAGGCCTATATTTGACTTTGTTATGAAAATATGTTTGCTTGGTTTATAAACATGTCACAATTATACTTCCCCAAACTTCATACTTTTAAATCTAACCATATTAAAAAGACTTCAATTCCTAACAGAGTAAATAAAACTAGAAAAGTACTCAAACTTAGAAAAAAGATGATATGCACCTGCCATTCCCACTATGCTTATGACAGTGAGATGGGATGAATTGGTGTTGTTAGGATCACATATTAACTTAACAAGGCGTGTTAAGTCCTCGTCCCTTCCTATGAGCAACTTATCATCCACATAGTGTCGCTGGTTACGAAGTTTGCTTGTTTCTTGATCTTCACTTGGATGACAATGTCTACTACTGTACACATCTCTTGAAGCAACATCGATAGGTCTAATACCAAGCTTATTAGCATCATCATATATGTTGTTAATCAAGGTTGTTAAGTCACTCGCTTTGTGACCCATACGTAAGCGTGAAAAGCGCTTAGAGACACCAAGTCTAAACTTGTCCCTCTTTCGAGTACAGATAATTTTAGTCTGTAGAGCTTCATATGACAATTGGTCAAGCAAGTCGTCTGCATCGTAAGCAGCATCCTCTATATTTTTTAGCCAATCGACTAGCAATGGATTATTGATCGACTGGCAAGAAGCACCATGTAATAATGCAATTAATCGAGTGAGCTGCCCTTGAACCACCTGTAACTCTTTCTTGAAACCGCGAGCTAGTTTGATTTCCGCATTGATGCGTGACAACAACATTCCAATTATTCCATGAGCTTCATTTGCTAATAATCCTCCTACTGCATTCTGTACTATGGAATCCATGTTGTTTTAATTTGTTTTTGGATGATGTTCTTCTTTGATTACAAATTGAAACAAGGTGTACTGTGAAGATTTTTATATATTGATTTACAAAACAGGGAAAAGTCGAGTGTGTAATACAGTACGGAGTATTGTTATGGAAATAACGTGGAATTGAGTGGGAAAGCACATAGAATTGCAAGCACAATAGTATTAAAACGACCACAAGTTAAAGACAAATAAGCACAATAGTAGGGAAGTCAATAATTAACGATGAATGATGGCCTGGCGTCCCTTTATCTTCATGGTAAACGTTAAATATTTATGTAGTGTGAAATGAATACGGTCATCTCAGCTCTTTAGTTATTGAAAAAGCCACACATACATTCATTATTATAAGGCAGCAATTTATTGGTAGTTAATATGGGCCCCAAACTCCAATAATTTTGAATTTTCATTTAAATTTGAATGAAATTTTTTATTTAATCTATTGTTTGAAATTCAAATATTTTGTCATTTCCAAAACTAGATTATCCTATGCACGCGATGCGAGCGAAAGAGTAAGCTCTTGCATAGAAGTTGTATTAGCGCGTAATTACACTTTTGGTTTGGGTAGTAGATCTGTTAGTTTTAATATGTACTATTTGGTTTATGTGTCTATATAGTGGTTTTGTAGAAATATAAAAAAGCCACCAAAATCTTAAATGATAATTATTTTTTAAAACCCTCACAAGTTTGACAATGTTATTTCAAAATTATTATTAAATAATATTTAATTGATTTGCATCCCTTCATATCTTAAGCTAGTTTAGAACTCTTAATTGATTTGTATGATTCAATAATACTTAACGTATTTTTCTTCAAACGAATTTTTTGTGAGCTTGGTCATACGGAGTTCTAATATGTGAAATGTTCGTTGTAAACTTAATAATGTAAGTTCAACGTTCTACGACCATCTAATATCTATATCTAATACTAAAACAATAACCACTTAGTTATAATTTTTCCTCTTAAATTCTCTCCATATTTAATACATTTTTTTTCTATCATCGATTTCCTTCGATTTTAGGATTTTAAAGTTATTTTTACCTCTTGATAACATATGCTCAAATATCATTATTTAATATGAATGTCATTTAAATTCCACGTTGTTTATGTGCGTGCCATCAAATAATGTACAATTAAAAAGCTAATAAACCTTAACAATATTTAAAATAATTAAAAGACAACAAAAGTGTAAATAAGAAGAGCAACCACGAAAGAGTAAAAATAAATCATCTCGTGGTAATAAACAAAGTCTTCGTACATGCAATTTTTTTTCCTTTTTAAATAACAATAATAACATATGAAGTACAAAACATTATAATTATTTTATTTAAAAAAAAAAAGGAATTACTGTAGGCGTCGTTCGAAGTGCGCCTACGTTAAAAGCATGTGGTGAATATGCTTGGCAATCATAGGAAGTGGGAATTGACATTACGATTAGGGACAAAGCAAAGTAGGGAGCCGCCAACAAGTTTTTAAGGAACTTGTAAACCGTTCACGGATCATAAAAAGGCAACCACGATAAGGGACAATGATAGGCAACAACGATTGACCCGTGAAAGTTACACCCCATTCATAATCCATGAGATTACTAACTCCATATGGTTCGGAACTACGAAAGGAGGATCGGGGATGATGGTACGAAGTGAGTCATGGAGTCTCACTCGCCCGTATTGGCCTCTACTCGATTCTTATAGTGAAAAGTGATTCCTGCGATCTCAAAGGCATACAAACAAAGATTCAATTTGCTCCAACCTATTATTAAACTAAATTGGTTTAACATTAATGCAACACATAATTATATAATATTGTGATCACTTGATTTAATAAAAAGATTAAAAAGGAACCTAAACCGGTTGTCCAAATTATATTATTAGGCGTGATTTTCAATTACATATTCCCTTTAAACATGCAATATGGAGATCATAAAAATAATAGAATAAACATTAATATTGGAAGCAATTTAACAATAATTCCAACAATACAAAAATCGTTAGAAAAATAAAAGGAACATAATTCTTACTTTGATTCTGTTTGCTTGCAACTACAAAATAATAAACGAGTTAGTAACTTCAAGAAAATAATAATAAAACAATAATTAAATTAAATTAAATTAAGTAGAGTTGATTTGGGGCCAAACGCTCAAACAGTTCTACCTTTCACGCCTTGGCTTAAGGACAGAACCACGAGTAAAGTATGGACTCCTTGGAGTACTTGAAGAGGAATTTTGAAATAAGAAGGGTAGGCTAGTGTTTAGGCTAAAGCATAGAAGAGAGAAAAATAGTGAATTAATTGATGTCCCGTACATCAAAAATTAAGGGGTATTTATAGAGAATATGTGCTGAGGGAGCACACGGAACCCTAAAATGATAAAAACCCTAAAAAAGTATCTCGCGACACGGCAAACTGTACCGTGACACGGGAAGTCCCACTATCAGACAAAAAACATTCCCGTTACACGGTGCAGTTTTAGTGTGACGCGGGAAATTTTTAGTAAACGGGTAAGAAAATGCGTTAAGGGTTTACGCGGAAAAGACACGGAAATTCCCATGTCACAGCAGATTTCCCATGTCACGGGAAATCCCACCGTCAGACGGGAATGATTCCCGTGACACGGTGGGTACCTTCCGTGGCGCGGGAATTCCAAGCCCGCTTTTCCGTCTAAATACATTTTTAACCCTAATTTCGTTCAGCATTTTAAGTGTCGATTGATAATTTCGGGCCTTTTTCTGATTTATTATTATTTGGGCTAAAATAAGAAAATAATTAAATAAAATAAAAAAAGGTTTGGGCCAAAAATAAATAATAAAAAAAGGATTGGGCTAAAATTAAAACTATGCTTTTACCAAACATCAAGACTAATCCATGGACTGTACAAAAATACTAATTTAATCAAATACGATTTTTTAAGCACTCTCGGGATTAAATATTGAACCCGACCAATAGTGGCGGTGAAAGGTTGTTCATCATCGGCTTTGGTTTTGGGGAGACATTTTTAGGTGTCTACAATTACAAGTTTTTGTTAAAAAAAAAAACTTTGTATTAATTGATGGTATGTTTAATGGAAAAAAAAAACCCACTTAAATATATTAATGAGAGTAAACATATTAATGAGGGTGAAAAAGTAAATATACATTTTTGTACACAATTTTGTGCATATTTTTGAGGGTATAGTTGGTAGCACACTATTGCTAAGAGTTATTTTCTACTTTTTATAAGGTAGGGACTAGTAATTTAGTATATTTTTATTTTTATTTAAAAAAAATTGTTCATATTGAACATCATTCTAGAAAAATAGCTAAAGGGCAACCATTGAAGATGGAAAAAAAACTTGAAGATGCTTCATTATTGTTATAGTTACTTGAAAATACATTCTCTAGTCAAATTAATCGATGTAATTAGACAAGTCAATCGAATTTAATTGGAGAAATTAAACCACTTGCGATTATTAAGAATTTCAAGTTTTAATAAACAATGGTGTAATTATTTGCAACAATGTACCTCGTAGTGTATTACTCCCTCCATCCGTTAATACAATGCCTCTTTCTCTTTATTATGTCAGGGATAAATGCTCAAAAGAGACATTGTATTAAGGGGCGGAGGGAATATTGTTTCATGGGGTTGATAAATATGGTAAATTATGAAGAACAGAACCAAAGTTCAGAGATTCAGAGCAGCCATGGTTTTTTGCATGGTTGTTCATTGGGTATCGTGTGTCCAATCTTTTAGACTACTACTTTACTAGTACGAAGTGCTACCTTTAATTTGCTTGCTTTCTAATCTATCTTGTTCTATTTTCTTCTTGGCAACTACCTTCCTTATGTACGTGTACGTAGTTTTGTTTGAAGAATTTTATGTATGTGGCCGTATCCGTATGTGTCCTGTCACTCCTGTGCATAATCAAATAAAGGTTATTGCTAAGATCAAATTTATGCTCATGACTAGATAAAATCACGCAGTTTAATGGCCTAGGCATCTGCCATTAATTATTATGCTAATGTTTAGTATATCTTATTTGTTTAGTATATCTCATTTGTTATGTAAGTTTAGAGATTCAGAGCAGCCAAAAAAAAGAAAGAAAAAGAAAAAGAAATAGGTAAGAGAAAGAGAACGAAATTGTGGAAACTAGTGTAATTATTATAATTATTTGCAATTATAATGATCTATTTTTCCTCCATTAATCGTCTCCAATTAAGGAAATGAGTCTATTTGCTTAATATATGATACCCTTTTTCCATTGAACTACTAAAATGAGTCTTCTTGTTCTTCCACTCGATTTCAAATGATTTTTGGATTTTTGTGTTGAAATTACAATGATTGTTAAAGGCACAAAATTAACCTATTCATAAATAAATAAATATGCCATTTGAAGGCCGACAACAATACTGATTGAATATGGTTTCAGGTCATGGATGTTGGAAATAAAGAAAAGGAAATTCAACGGGTCAGACCAGGCGCGAGAAGAGTCGTAAAATTCTAGAGTTCCCCCACCCGATAGGGCGAGCTCCGCCCGATCGAGCACCCGACTTGGTGCCCGATCGGGCGCGAGAAAGACGTTTGGAAAAAGGGATTATGTCCACCCGATCGGCGAGCTCCGCCCAATCGGGCGCGTGTTTGTCCGTTGGACTCCTTGGATTCCTCATCTTGTTTAATTTCTTGTAACCCTCCATTTAAGAGGTTTACTATGGTGGTTTAATCACCATAATATTTCTGATTTCATTTCCTTGTTCATAGAAGATTCCTCCATGATCTTTCATCTTCTTCAATCATTCATTTCTATAAATTGGAGGATGTTTTCTGATTTTGAGATACACAAGAAATACATATCAAACACAAGCTTGCTTTAACACATACTCTATATTAAGCATAAGTTACTTGGCTCCAACCTTCCACCCAAAAGTGCCTTTGTGTGAAAATGGTGTGTTAACCTTAGGGAACGTGCCAGCGAATACAATTTTGCACTCCGGTTGCGCCGGAATTTTGTTTTCAAATCAGTGATTTGCATCAGGACACACCGTACTCTTTCATTGTCATAAGATCATCTTTTCAATCTTCTTATTTTAATTTCTATATAGCCTTGAAAATACTTCTTATATTACAACAATTTGAAAACGAAATTATATATTTTCATTGGCTACAAATTA